CAAAACGAAAAACGCGAAAGACTCCTTTTTATTGTGTTTTAGGTCGATCTTTAATTACTTATCGAAGTGAAAGTAATACTCTTGAATTTTAAGAGCACAAGAAGAAGAAATTCTCGCTGTGTTGCAGTATCCTTAAAGTCACGTTTTTGATCAGTTTTATGTCAATTTAGACGGGTATTGATATTTCTAATTACAAAATAGTCATGCAGAAAAGTTCTCTTACGCTCATCGTCTCTCTTGTCGTAAAAAGGCATTTGATGCGCATTCTTACGTACCTACGATCTTGATATAGATGACATAGAAGTTAAGAAAGTTGAAATAACTGAAGAAAGCAATTCTTTCTCTTACCTAAGCTTTCTTATTATAAAAGCGTATAGTATGATGTTAAAAATGCACTTTCGAGTGTATTTATATCAATGCTCTGTCCTCACCCCATCAACAGTAATATAATTTTATATCATGTTTATTACACAGCAACAATATTATGAAACAGTATACCTTATCAACTTCTAGCAAAACCTCCTTTTTTTAGTTTTAGTTTGTTATTGCCCTCTTTCTCTCACTTAAAATGCTCCTTACATTCACTTATTTATTCTCTCCCCCACTTCTTCTTTCTTTCTGATCATAAAAAGTAAATATATTAAGAAAATAGATCTATTTCAGTAGTTCTAATCAAAAGTCCATTTCTAAACGTATTTCTAAAAACCCAAGAGAGAGACAGAATTCTTTCTTAGAAAAAAAGAGAAGTACTTCTCGTAGAAGGGAAAAAATCAATAATTAACACGTGGCCAAAGCATGTTTGTAAGATCACGTTTCTAATCAAGAAATGGTAAGCAGTTCTCTTAGAGGTGAAAAAGCTGAGAGCTCAATATTCAACTCCTTTATTAGACTTACGCTGTAGATTTCACAGAAAAGTCTCAGCTACACTGCTTCTTGTTCATCATTTTTTCTTATGTGAAATAACTTCAACTCCTATTTATGCAAGATAAAAAAAGAAGTTGACTAAAAAGTTTATATTTGATCAAGTTAATATTTTATCTTCCTTTTTTCTCTCTCTCTTCTTTTCAATATTATTCATCGTCTTCACTATTCTATCTCAGAGAGAGAGAGAGAGAAACAAAAAAAAGTTCTTGCAGCTTTTCTCTCTCTTTCTGAATGAGATCATAAACTATAGTAGCAGCAGTGGATTTGATATATGTATGTCTGAAATTCAGGGTGTATAACAGAAAGAATAAGAATTTTATTTTTTTCTTCCTTCTGTAGCGATAAACAGAAGAAAGGAAAGAAAGAAGAAAAAGTGAAATATTATCGTAAAACAATTGAGTAGAGAGAAAAGAATATGAGAACTTCATAATTAAGAACGAATATGCACACAGATGTTCAAGTGTTCTAAAGGTCGGCGACAGAAGAGAACAACTTTGGTGTATGTGGTAGATCTAGGGCTGAGACGAACACTGTTCTGTAGAAAAAATTAGAGTCAAAAGAATAGTGAGAAACGTGAAAAAGTGAGGGTTTCAAGAGTTTTCGAAGTTTGTGGACGAATATATAACGTTTCTGCAACTTTGTAAACGAAGAAACAGTCACTTTGGAGATTTCGAATGTGTTTCAAAAAATTTTGTGATCCTTTGAGTGAAAACCACTCGATTTCGCAGTTTTAAAGAGATACCGAGGTGTTTTTAAGGAAAATTGACGTTTTTTAACAAAAAAAAAATGGTTTATACCTTTTTCCAAAAACATTTCATGTAAGGCATTTTCTGTTTTTTAAAGAAACATTAGTAAACGTGTTTTACCGTCACCTCATATTAAAAACATTTTTGCACCTTTTCAAAAGCTGAGAGACTCCTTTGTTTTCTCTCAAAAAAACCTGCATAGAAGCCTTAAAATACGCTTGAAAATCGCTAAAAACGCCTATTTTTCGTTCAAAAAGTTACAAAAATGCATGTAATCTGTAGATTCTTGCGGTTTTGCACACCTAATTGTTTTATCAAATGATAAAAGCTTTAAATGAATTTGCATGGATGACTGTAACTCCAGAAAGAAAGGTTTGTGACTTCACGAAATCATTTTTTTTCTAAAGTTAATCGGCTAGGACTCCAATAATTTTGAACTTTTGAACGAATTTAAGCGTTTAATAACCTGATTCGAGTCAGAAAGACGAGACAGTTCTCTAATAATCACAACAAACCATTTAAAATGGTTAAAACATTTTTTATCAAGATACTTTTGAGTAGATCCATTAATATTTCAACGATCTTTATACCATTATTTTTATTAACGATTTTTATAGAATTTTGTCTATGAAAACCTTGCTGTTTCAGAAGACGTTTCCTCGATGGGGTGGGGGGTGGGTGGGTGGATTTTTAGTAAAGTAGTGATGGTCCACCATGAAGCATAACTACTTTTATAGAAACATGATTACTTTCATAAAAAACTTTAAATGAGGAAGACTTTTATTTAAAAAAGTTATTAGATGTGTATCAATCCTGTATAACCACCCTGTAGCTCCACTCCACATTTTTAGCGTATACAACGACTTTTATAAAAATTTTCATGCGGGTCTATGCACATTATCACAGATTGGAGATACGACTACAACGTAACATAATTGAAGGTCCCATTTTCTAGGGTGTGGATGTGCGTCCGGATCTGGATGTGGAGGTTGGAGTGGCTGAAGAGTAGACCCACAACCTCATTCCCATCCCACCCATGTACCCACACCCCTTCCACACTTAAACCCACAGCCACAACTACCACATTCACACCCACATTCTCCTTGACATTTTCTCAATCAATCTAAGTTGAAGTCTACATGAAGGTGTAGGTAGAGGTGTAAGCCGATGAGCTGACCGGCGGCGGCGCCATTAAAAAAAATTTTTTTTCAAAAGCTCGGCGGCGCAGATTTGAATTACT